ATGTATGTATGTATGTATGTATAGTATGTGTACATGTATATGTATATGTATATGTATATGTATATGTATATGTATATGTATATGTTCATGTTCATGTACAGGTATATATATATATGTATAAGCATCAGCGAACAGGATGCAGTTCTGAACACACACAGCTGTTTACCTACAAATGAACATATACTAAAATTTTACATGCTCACCTGCAACTGGGAGGATGTGGGTTGTTGTAAACTGGCGGCGGCGTGCGCAACCGCAGCGTAACTGGGGTTGTTCCCTGAAGCGTCCGCCGCAGAATGAGAAGGGGTGCGATTGTCTGATATTGGAGGGAAATAATTGACGGACAACATAATAGTACGTATGCGTGAGCGCATCTGCTTTACATGATGCGGCATGAGATATGAACCGGAACTTTAGATTAGATTGTGTGTATTGCATCGGTGGTTGTCTAAGTGTATGAAAGTCTACATTGGCTATGATACTAGGTGTGTATATTGACTCTGGATTCGACTGTATATTTTGCAGCGGCTGTAGTCTGAACATCTGATGCTATCACTAAGTGGTTGTGATGTTGCGTTGTCTACTTATTTTATGTATATCGCTGTTTTGAGCGAGTACGTATTCTATCGATTGCAGCAGTGTACAACTTCCGCTAATTTCAGGTCGAAAAGAGTGCAGTCTAGTTTATTTATACAACAGAGGCTATTAATTATGAATGGTGCGCACCGCACACCCTCTGCATGGTTTACTATACAACAAGGTTGGGCCGCATGTGTTCAAACTTGCACATAAAATCCTCACTGGTTCCCGATTATATGTGTGCACATCCGAACAAGTGATATACATAATCCATGCACACTACTGTTAAACAAAATTGAAAATAAGATACTAACACATTTAGCACGATAAACTAATTAGAATACAGAACATTTGATATTAAAGCATGTGCTATGCAGACTACAAGCAGAGTCTCTATACCAAGCAGTGACAAATAATATTTTAGTATATATACCTACTAAACTGTTGCCAACACGCAATGGCGGTGTCTGAGCAGAGACCTGTGCTCCAGTTAATGCCGGGCCAAGGGTTTGCACAGTACTTGGGTCTTTATGGTACATGGTCGAGAGGTGCATAAGGTTGATCGGAAACAAGTTTAGGTGTATATCAGAAGTAAGTAATACAATTCGCACGCAAAACTTAACACGAGTACCAAGGGGGTTGAATAATTTGTTAGCAAATCTGAAATGCATAGAAAACAAAGACTGATTGGTACCGCTTTAGTATCCAAAAACACGCCCATGCGCACACACGTACGCAACCATGCCACTACTATACACCGAGTTCCGTACTGTCTAGCTCGTTGAGTTTATATGTCATAGCACACACTCACATGTGTACACTCACCAACACATACCCACACTTACGCAGACACAAACACATACTCACACTATCTCATATACACACAAACGTAGAACCATGTGTTTGTGCCGTGCATCAGGTCACGTATAACAGTTCACTTTTGTGTGAGCTCGGTGGGCTTGGCCATAGCACGCACTCACACACGCACACATCCAATATATCCCCACATACACAAAACAGACAGATAAACCCATATGGACACGCACACGTAAATATATACGAACATATTCTTACCCACTCATCCAACCATCCCCACACACAAATACTCCCTCACGTACGCGCACATACACGCAGTTACATACAAGCAAATAGATACGCACAAACCTACGCACCTATGTCTGTGCCATACACCAGGTCCCGCATGACAATCCACTCATCTCTGAGCTCGCTTGGTTTGTGAGCCATAGTACACCTGGGACCATCGAGCGGACAGATGCCTATGTGTGTGATCTCATTATCGGAGAAGAACGCACACTTAGTGGTCTTGAAGGTCAGCGGGTGATACTGGGTCTCACTGAGGGGATAGAATGGTCGTTGTATAAGGGTTGATTGGAAACAGGGTCAGAATATACGATAGTGTGTGGAGATGCGGAAACGAGGTATGTGTGGTTGCATCAAATTTGGATGTCCCCATCATCGGAGAAGAACACAAAATTGGTGTTCTTGAAGGTCAGCTGGTGGTAATTAGGGGGTGGTATGGTGGTTGTAGAAGGATTGATATATAACAGTTACAGAAAATTTGATAGTGAGTGGATATGCGTTTATGAAGTGTATGTGGTAGCGTCGAGCGGGCAGCTCTCATTATCGGAAAAGGACACACACTTGATGAACTTCAAGGGAAGGGTCTTTTAAAGTTTTAAGGTTATAAGATTTTAGGAGCGTTGAAACTCGGAAGTCTCACCGAGGAATACTGTGGGGGTTGTGAGTGCAGATCTCATTCATTCGAAGCTATGTATATGAATTCAAAAGAAAAGGGGTGTGTGTGTGCACCAGAGCACGGGACACTCGCGGTGGTGTTGGCGGGCAGTGAGGTGTCGTGGTGACTATACCAGGATTCATAGGTGCTTCGAGCTTCACAACAAGGACACGGTTATGAACAAGCATGCGGTACGAACCATATATTGCGACGTACATAGCGGATAGAGCGCCGATAGAGTGTGTACAGCTCGAAGCTCTACATAAACCTTACTCCCTGATCCAAGTTACATAAAAACAACCACCAAATACTCGGCGTCAAGACGATATATAC